GTATCTACCACTGTGTATCCAACTACACAATAAAACACCAGTGCACCAATACACATTAATAATAGGAATATGGAGAACTTGGTAGAGATAAAATTCAAAGACGCTAAAAGGAAGTAAATAAGAACAACATCAGATTAAAATGGATTAAAATAAATAAATAAAATAAGGGACAGAATCAGGTAAAAGCCAGAGAAAAAAGGTAGGTCTTTAAATTAGATTCGAAGTTCTCAATGGTGGAGCAGGACTTGATGTGTAAGATGGAAGACTATTCCAAAGCCTGGGGGCAGCAACAGAAAAGGCCCGGTCACCTTTGGTTGTAAGGCGTGAGAAGGGGACTAAGAGGAGTTGTTGTGAAGATGACCTGAGCGACCTAGGTGCAGAATATGGAATTAGCATATCATTAATGTATTGTGGGGCTAAGCCATTAAGGGCTTTTAAAAACAAATAATAAAAAATTAAAATCAACTCTGTATTTTACCGGTAACCAGTGCAAGTGAGACAAGACCGGAATTATGTGTTGTCTTTTCTTTGTTCCAGTTAAAAATCTAGCAGCTGCATTTTGAACCATTTGTAGTCGGGAATTACAGTAGTCCAGCCGTGAGGTGATAAGCGCATGTATAACTGTTTCCAGGTCTCAATGGGCTAAAAATGGCTTCAATTTGGCTATGGTTCTAAGTTGATAAAAACTTCCCTTCACGACACTACTGATTTGCTTGTTAAAATTCAAAGAGGTATCCATAAAAACACCTAAATCTTCACTACAAGTGGCCAAATAGAATTACCTCAGTTTTATTTTCATTTAGTTGAAGGAAGTTCCTCGCCATGCAACCTTTGATATCAGTTTAAGAGGTTTTTCAGAGAGCGAGTGCTGTCAGGTGTAACTGCTATGTAGAACTGTGTATCATCCGCGTAACAATGATAAAAATATTGTACTTCTCAAAAATCATACCAAGAGGAAGCATGTATAGTGAAAATATGAGAGGGCCTAAAATCAAGCCTTGAGGGATGTCACATTTAATGGCAGCAGGAGATGATGAACGATTTCCTGTTCTAACAGTAAACATTCCTTCTCTTAGGTAGGATGCAAACCATTGTAACACCGTTCCCTGTAGACCGACTTTTTCCTCCAGGCGTTTTAAGAGAATCTCTTGATCAATTGTGTCGAAGGCTGCGCTAAGATTAAGCAGGACTAAAATAGCACTAGAGCCAGAGTCCACAGAGAGAAGGATGTCATTTTGTACCTTTAGCAGCCGAGGCATTGGGGGGAAGGGCCACTACCTAAGAGAGAGAGAGAGAGAAGGAAGACACACTCCAACACTTTCCCAGTCATTTGAATAGATCACTTTCTCCAGTATACAGTGATGGCTTTTGGCATGAGAAATGCCCCAGCCACATTCCAACGACTCATGAACATAGTGTTGGGAGATGTACCCCAGTGTAATGAAGAGAAAACTCTTTAAGGAAATTAATGTTAGTTTTAGGAGGCCTATACACCAGTGTGGATAGGATTGGGGCAGTGATGTTAATATTTAAAAGTTGCACCTCAAAAGTAGAGTATATATTACTTCTTATACAAACAGTGCTATTTTTATAGCCTAATCTATGCTGCTGTATATATTTTGTCCTGTACAATTATGTTTATTTCTATACCATGCCACTACCTCCTGCTGCAACCTCTGCAGTGTTCCAAATCAATTTCATCTCAATATACACTAAAATGTGTGTATAGTTTATAGTTGTATTTTTGTAATGTGTATTTTCTAGTCTGTTGTGTTGTGTTGTATCTGAGGCTGCTGTAACAGGTGAATTTCCCCAGTGTGGGATCAATAAAGTCTTATCTTATTGACTGTCTTATCTAGTTATCTTATCTTTTCACCTTGTGTCCCTGCCACAAACAAACATTTTTTAATAATTATTACTTAAGGACTTAAGACAAAAATGACTCTTTGTGAAGTAGAAGTTTTGATTATTTAAGTTTTGAAATTTAACAATTTATTTCCTTTTAGGTGACAATCTTGAAGACTTTCATTTAAATAAACGTTTGTTAACTCACTATCTGTCGCATAATGTGATTACATATACAATAGTGACTGAGCCTATGGCCCAATGATGAAAGTATTGCAATTTTTGGGGCATTGTCTAGCTCAGTTGGTAGAGCTTTATATTTATAATATTTATATATTTGCAGTATTAAAAACTGGGTGTCAGTGTCGACATTCCTGGGAAAATGCTGCATTAAGTTTCTCCGGATGCAAACCGAACATTTCCTACTGCTACAGCTTCACAACAAAGGCATTAAACTAGCAAAACACAAGTTGACTTGAAACAGTCACAGGAAATGCAATGTTTGTCAGTGAAATTAGCACTGAAAACATGGGTCTACAAAGCAAGGCAATGGTCATTTTCTGCCTTTTTTTTTTGACATAGGATACGTTTGAAATATTGCTGGGAGTAATGGAACAGGCATGAGCAGCACAGTGAGCTGTTAGATGAAGAGCTGCAGGAGACAGGCTGCACACCTCCAACTTCTCAGCCAGGTAACCAACTCCTTTCACTGTGCCCTGCTGTTCACACACTGTGCAGCATAAAGTCAGATCACGGTTCCTCACAGAATGATGGAAAAAGGCCAATTACTGCCTGACTTCTTTATTAACACAGCAATAGTTTGTTTTGCTGCCCCAAGAATTCTGTAACCTGTAGTATGAAACCACACTTGCTGTTATCACCAGTAAAATAAACTGCCAAATCAACCAGAACTGACATTTTTTTTATTTACATCTATTTAAAAAACACTATTACTCCATTCTATGTTAGTCAAATGCAGTATTTTGTGGGTCTTTGCTTATTTCTGAAACAACAGAGAAACATCATTGTCAGTGATATATAAGTTGTTATTGTGTGTTCATATGCAAACCACAAATAATAATGACGATCTCATTTAGCTGACGCTTTTATCCAAAGTGACTTACAATTGCTATATATGTCAGAGATCACATGCCTCTGGAGCAACTATGGGGGAATCATATGCCAGCAGCAGATTAGGTTTATTTTGGTGCAATTAGTATAAAACATAATGCCACACAGTTTTTAATTTTATTTTCCCATTATTTTCCCATTATACTATAACAGAAATAATTAAGACTTCTTTAAGGTCAGGCTGAGGAAACGCCACTACAAGAAATCGAAAATTATCTCTGCTGATGCTCAGCTGGCTGAACCAATCAACTGGAGCCTCATCACGTCAAAGGGTTTTGGGAATTGAACTCTACCCGTTGCTTCAAGTTGCAGAGCAAAGGAAGTGAAGAGGACGTTCTCGTTAACGACAGCCGGCTAAAGTGGAGCAATTAGGGCTAATCAAATGGCATTTGCCTTTAAACAAATGATAGAAAAGGTCAGCGGGCTGGTGGATGTAATTGATCAGATGGCAGTTTCCCCTCAGCGTGAAGGTTAGCTGATGCTGACATTTGTTAGGATCATTTCTAGCCGTGGATTAAAGCTGTACAGTGACATTTTACATTTGTCTGAGTTATTTTACTTCGACATGATCTTCATATGCAACAAGAGAACTGTTCCAGGAGTTTTTATGCCAACTTAACAATCCATTGGGAGAAGTTTTTCCAGCCATTCATGACACAAATATGTTGTTGATGCAAAAACAAAGGGGCTCAATTAGCTCACAAAAACATTACGTTATTTAGCAAACAGCTGCTTACTTCCACATCTAGCAGATACAGAGCAACATGATCATCCCATTGGGGTTGTGTTACTGATGAATTTGAGTTCACTCTCCTTTTGGCTGTGGTTTGGTCTCTCTGCTAGATGTTACACTTTTGTACAGATGTTCATGGTCAGCAGAGGATGAATCTTTATGACTTAGATGATCTGCTGACTTTGTATATAGCTCCTTGAAGAAGTCAAATTTTATACTTATCCAGTGAAATATCTCTTCATCTGCCCAGTAGATCTGTACATTTTTGTTTTCCAGACAATGTATCCGAATGACTTTGGTGATCACCTGACCTTTCCAGTAGTGCCACCAACAGATTGCCCTAAAATTTGTTTCAGACATTCATACCCCCTAGAGGATGAATTGTAATAACTGTTGTGATCCCCTTTCATTTAGCTTCATCACCAGGTGATAATTTGAATTTAGGCCGATCCAATACTATGGTTTATGACCAAATTCCTGCAGAACTAAAGACATTCTCATCACCCTCAGCTGTACTCATGCTGCGTTCCATTGACCTCGGAAGTTGGAGGTCGGAGCTGGGAATGACGTCACAACTGAGTTGACGGCGTCGGTCAGCCAACGTTTACATCTAGCCAGGTTAGCCATTGTAGCAGCACTGGTTGATAAAAAAAATGTGGTATTGTGCGGTATTTACACATACTAAACACTGTTGCAACAGACAGCAGTAGGACAGCACTTTGTGTACAAAAATGACTGAGACACAAGTACACAGACATGCTAATGGACAGTATAAGTTACAGCTTTCACTCAGAGCAGCCATTTTGGATCCATCTTGGATCACAAAGTCTGGGTAGTGCGGTTCTTGCAACTTTCCGAATTAGAAATCCGACTTAAGGAGGCGTTCCCTTTGAAATTTCTGACTTTGAACTCATGTCAATTGGAACGCACCATTACTGCTAATTAGCAAATATTAGCATGCTAACACGCTAAAGCAAGATGGCGCATTGGTAAACATTAATTGCTTAACATATGTGTTTTATTGTCTTTGTGAGCATGTTGCGACGCTGACATTAGCATTTAGCTCAATGCACCGCTGTGCCTAACTGCATAGTCATAGAGCTGTTAGCATGACTATATCTTTATGAAATACTGTGTAGCTTTAACTTTTAAATATGCAGCCTGTGACGTGGGGTCGCACACGTTGCTTCATGTTAAGCCATCACAAGCACGAACATTTTGGAACCACTAACATACAATATGGACAGAAAACCATGTATCATGTTTAAGCTTTCCAGCAAGATGGTATTTTTTTTATTGATTGTTGCTTTTATCATACTGGAAAAGAAGCCGGTTTAGAAGTGGGGAGTAATTGGGTAACAACACAGAAAATGTATTTTTCACTATGTGGATCTTTTAAAACCGGTTGTTGTTGATAGAGAGCCGAGCAGTGCTGGTATCTTCCCTCTTGCCCACTGACACCAGCAGAGCGGGGGTGTTTCTGCATGATGAACTGCATGTGTCTGTCTCTGCAGGGAAGAGGAGGAGGGGGGAGGAAGGCGGGGGGTGTTCTCCTCATCCAGAAATAATCCAATTCCACGGGAGGATGAACCAAACCTCCACCCTGCCGCTCTCAACTTCACCACCATGAAAAGAGCTTTAGAGTCAGAGGTTGCAGAGGAAAGACCCCAGAGACTGAAGAGTGTGTGTGTGTGTAAGAGAGAGAGAGAGAGAGAGAGAGAGAGAGAGAGAGAGAGAGTTATTACATGATGCCGAAAGCAGGAAATTCCCCCGTGTGAATTTACCTCACCTTTAAAAGGGAATGCTGGGACACTTTGTGTTTTTTCATTCTCACTCTCACACACACCAACACACACATACAGACATACAGATGAGCCAACTGATGCAACAGCTTGTTATGATTCACGAAATTAGAGTTTTGTTTTGTTTTCTGGTATTTTAGGAGAAAAACTAGTTCCATGTTTATTATCTTTCCACACAGAGTCTGGCTGCTCTCCGTCTTTGCTTTGAATAACAGAAAACCTGAGATTTTTTTTTACAGTGTGTTCACACTGAAACACACACGTTTTATCTTAATTACTAAAGAGTTTAAACACATCCGACTACAATTAGTCACAGATTATCACATAAATCTGCTATATTCACGTGCCATTCTGCTAATGAAAGGTGAAAGTAAAGAATTAGTCGTTTAGTTGACGCTTTTATCTAAAGCGACTTACAATTGCTATATATGTCTATATATATGGTTAAGTCTCTTGCTCAGGGACACATTGGTGGATGTCGCAGTCATTTAAAAAAAAGGCCTTTACTTGAGGTTTTCACATGTCCTGTCAGTTTTCTAGTAACTGAGACCTGAGCCATCAGACCAGGTCCAAACTCAGTCTTCTCGTGTAGTGATCCAATCAGTGATCTGAACTCTCAGATCTGGCAGGGTGGAAAATTAACTTTTTTTTCTTTTGCCCAGATTTAAAATGTATGTGCTAAATGAAGGAATAACAATCAGCTAATTTAGGCATCATTTCATGTAAATTATGTTGTCATAATTTGTTGTCACAAAAACAAAAAGGACCCATGTATTTCAGGACAATCACTCAACCTTACTTAACAACCAGGTATTTCAACTGAAGAGGCGCAATCAATATATTATCATTAATATATGTGTCAGCCATGATAAGAAGGAAGCAGATTAGAAAGGGACAGAGGACAATGGGTTGCTGGATGAGTAAAGGGGGAGAAGAAGCATCACGTTATAATAATTTTATAGAAAGATAATTTGAGTCGAGTCATGGCATGAAATAATATCACCATCAGGTACAGACAGATGATTAGAAACACAAAGTTCACCACAGTGTATTATACAGTCAGTGCTTAATACAAAACCTGCAGTTCAACCATCAATAAATGAGTTCTTATCTCAGTTAAAATCTGCCATATCTGTCCAGAGTCCATATCTGAACAAAGAACCCCTCTTCTGGATCCAGGAAGCAAACAAAAAGTAGTTTGAGTTGTAAAACAACAGTTGTTCCAAAAAAAATAAAACCAAATGATGCGTTTTGAGTTTAGTAGACAAGCACCTGAGTGCTGCTGGTAGATAGCGCATTGGCTATCACTCAGGACGGATGTGGATTGTCACGTCGGGTTAACTGTTAGCAGCTCTAATCTGAGCCCTTTCTCTGTCCCCATCACCACACAGTGATGCCCTTGCCCACCTGTAACCTTTGTAGTGTTGATAACACATATCCTAAGCAGTCCTTTACAATGCTTTCTATTACATATACATGCACACTGTATGTGAGTGTAGTGGTGCTTATGGGACGTCGCTCTGGAATGGGTGAGTATGAGGATGGGACGGAAAAATCACAGTATACTCACTACAAAAAACTAGACTAGACCACTGGGGTGGGTGCTAATTTCTGACCCTGATCAGGGGCCTCAAAGGCCCCAGGTTCACTATGTGATTTGTATTCATTTGATCATTTGCACATGTGTTTTGGTAATTCACACGACTAAAACACAATATATATAGAAAAGAGGCACCTAACATGTTAATCTGACCCTGGTAGTCCATTGCTGCTTAAATTTATTCATTCACATGAATTTAAATTATGTGAGTCCATCCATCCATCCGACTACATTTCCTTAACTAAACCTTCCCTAACTAAAACGCAGACCTGTACACTCTGTGTGTTAAAGGAAATAAGGCTTTTCTTTGTGGGGTTTTAAAAAAAAAATCACTTCCATTGTCTGCAGTCCTGCAAAACCATCCACAAAGTTCCAAAAAGTCAAACTCAGCCTGCCCCCCCTCCCATGTCACCTTAGCAGTTTTTCCAAGGTGGTGAAGTGCAGGTTAAAAAGTTAAAAACAGCACAACAAACAGTCATTGTTACCGCAGCTAATTAGCAGATTCCCCTAAAAAAGGCTGATATTGAATGAGACGAATGGCTGCCTGCGGGCCTGTCGTCGGGGGTGATGGATGGATGACACAGACTCCCTGCGGCAATGGCAGACGCTGAGCTGAGCTGAGCTGAGTGGAGCAGAGGGGGCGCTGGTGTTGTCCCGAGGACAGCGGGATGGTAAACAGGTCTGTAGGACGGTGATGGCCTCTGGTTCTGCTGCTGTAAGTCCCAGCTGAGTCGCGTATATGGAGCACAGAGCGTCACCTCTGTGGACCCTCCACCGCCGCCCGGGAACAACTATGGTGCTTTTAAAGTTTGTGCCAGTGGGGTTATTAAGTGCTTGAAGGTAAAATGTGCGAGTTCTAAACGTTATAATGACTTAAAATCAGAGAGTATTAAGGGTTTCATTCCAAAATAATAAATGTATAGGTATAGGAAGGGAAAAGTTGCAGAGGAAAAAAAAAGAATCCTATTCAAACCTGATAATCAGACCAAATTACCATTGTTTTTATTTCATTATACAGCCTGACATTGTGTTAAAATTAGCTGCTCTCAGTTCTGCTTGCCTGTGGTGACTTAAACGTACAGTTAACTTAAAATTTGTCATGTCGGGCAAAGCTCTGATTGGCTCGGTTGTTTTCCAAACAGCCGTCAATGAGCACAGAAGACTTAGTGGCGCTGCTAGTTTCAGACGCTAGTGCTTAAAGAAGGTGATCAGGAGGTCACAAAATATATTATGGTTCTTTCTCTTGGGACCTTTTAATATTCAAAATAAATTACAAATCAATTTGTTCCACAGTGCTTGGATAAACTGACCTTGCCAGCCTTAGAACCCATTTCTACCAGTATGAAGATTTTAGGCCGTTTCTTAAATGCAGTATCATGTTCAGCCTTATCGCCAAATCTACATTGGATCCTTTAAAAACTTTAAATAAATGCTATTTGTTACAAATGTGAAAAGACAAAGACACGAAGGAATTTGTTTGCAGTTGAACAGCTTCTCTGTGTCTGTGATTACTTCACCAAACCAATAAAAATTTAAAACAAAGTGTCTTCTTGTGGTTTAAATCTTCTTCTTTGTTGGTATGAGCGGGTCATGTAAATTTACTGCATTAGCATATCAATTCAGCCAAAAACTCACTTATCTCCCCTCTCTCTCCTTCCAGCTGATTATGTAGCACTCTCACTTCAACAGACAGGCCTAATTTGCTCCCTTTCACAGCCAATCGAGAGGGTATTTGTTTAGTTTTCAGAGAGAGGCTCTTCACTGCTCTGCTGCATCAAAGTCTTCCGCATCTTGGGTGCAGGAGTGCATCGGTAACGGCGGCGACTCACATTACCCCTCCGTTCAGGAAACACGGCAGGTCTTGGCTCCCCCAACACCACGGCCACCGAGGCCCTTTTTGAAGTGCAGCAGAGGAAAAGCCTTTAAAAATTATTGCTTTTATGCTAAAGGCCTCTAAACGGTGTGATGGGCAAGTGGTGATCGGCTGCTCTGGTCTGAAGCTCAGGGCAATGCATCAATAAACAATGAGAGCTGGATGTGAAGAAGACAGCGGCTGGAGGAGCTCTTCATTAGCTGTCGCAGCAGCAGCCTCTACTTCCCTCTTTTATCTCAGATGAGTCACTCTCCATCTCTGGGTGTTTCAATCCAACGGGTCGGCCGAGTCACCCCCTTCCCCCTTCATGCCTTTCATGTTTTAAACCCACACTCTTGTTCTCGATGTGTCACCTCCAGTCATTCTGTGCTTTTTTCAACCAGCTCTCCCTCTCAATTAACCCTCCTCCTCCCCCCCTTTTTCTTCTTCTTCTTCTTGAGGCCCAGCACAAAATCAAATGAGCAAAAGTGTAGGAGAATTAAATCCAAATGTGTCTCGCATATTCTCCCAGACACATGAGAGCCGAGTAGAGATGACCTGCTGGAGCCAATTAAAAGGCAAAGAGTCGTCTCCCTTGATGTGCACTATCACTGATGTGCCATCTTACCTTCAGGCTGTGTGATATTGGCTGTTTGATGGGACAATTGAGCTGATCAGCTCATCTTTGTCATGTTGAAGGTAAGACGTGACAAGTCCAAGTGAGCCAAGTAGGTTTTTAACAATAATGTTCTCCTCAGAAAATGTAAAAGGATCTATGCAGGGTTTTAAAAAAAAAAACTTTACTTATATTCTCTGAAAATGTACATATAATATATTTCATCCAAATAAATCAATCATGCTTTCATTCATAAATGTTTAAAGAAACACCAATCCAGATCAAAAATACTACAACTTTGTCTGAAGTAGCCTACAAGTACGTTTTTGAAGTGCTCCGTTGAAAACTAAATTGCTCTTGAAGCTGTCAACAGATTCTGAGTCCCTAAGGTTCATCTGGCAGGCTGTTTACACGCTAACGCCTACTTCTCCTCAGACTCTGACTGAATACAAATGCCCTTGATCATATTGGTGTACATAAGTGAGTCAGTCACACTGTTGTTGTAGTGGAGTAGCTTACAGTAACTAACCTTAGCCTAGAGTAGCTAATTGTAGCATTATTGAGCATCTCATGCAATATTACTCTACACACTAACTCTAACAAAGCAACAAGCAACTTAAGCTACAGCTACAGTCGGATGACACTTACTCAGTGCTTTGATCAGCTTTCACAGGAATGTGCAAGTAAGACATTTGTATTCAGACCTTAGCTTTGACCGAGAACAAGATATGATAGAAAGGCGAGATAATAACATGCACAAGAGACAGACAACCATACTCTTGCAATCTTCCTGTATAACACAAA